TATTTTATATTTTATTACAAGTGGACTAGGACTCCTGAAATTGATAAAATTGTGTTTGAAGTAGTAAAATAGAAGTCCAGATCAAATGTGAGAAAAAATTGCCTCTCATATGTTCTTGGTATATTTTACCTATGACTAAAATCCTAAAGATCAAGAAGATTGAAAATGTTTATGCTTTTGGCCCAGTAATTCTACTTCTAGGACTTTAACTGAAGGACATCTGGTAGAAGCTTGCCTAACCAACTTCAGATTGACTGATGTTCTCCATTCTGTTTGTATTTACATAGTGATAATGACTATTTTCCTATTCTGTGATGCAGTTCTTTCCATACTCTGCTCCTACCAGCTGAATGGGCCTTGTCAATGCCTCCAGCCACAGACCACTAGGAACACACCTGTAGTTGAACAAGTCGGGTTCATGCCTTGTGAGGGAGGATTCACACCATGGGGGAAATGTGGAGTAACTGAGTAAAAGTGTTAGACGGTCTCTTTGTAGGATTTGGGCTTGTGTTAGTTGATTTGGTGGAGTTTTAAGGAACCAGGGCTTTGCTCCGGATTGGATACTTTTAGGATGTGGGGTGATTCTGTTTAGGTATCTTGCTAAATCTTATTAGGAGGAGGGCTTATTAGAGTAGAATGAGACTAAAGCTATAACTGAAAGAGAAGCAGCAGTCACTCATTTTAGCCAGGAGAGGTGGATATTTGGAGTTTTGTAGGGTGCACAGTGACCTTGTTTTTGTCCAAATTTAGACAGAATTTTGAAGTGTTCTTGTTTTGTCTCACTTTTTCATGGTCTCAGAGTGACCTTGTCTGATGTTGACATTTTGTGAGATTGTTTATGTCCAACAGGAGAAACATGGCCTCACTATGAGCCCCAGACCAGCCTCAAACAGTGCTGAGGCCTAGCTGTCAAGTGTCTGAGCAATTTGCAGGTGTCAGGGGCTACTTTTTTTTTCTGGTCATTGGCAAGCATGGGGATCCGAACGCTTTGACCTTGGTGTTATAACACTATGCTCCAACCAAATGAGCCAACCAGCCAGTCCAGGGGCTACTTTTTTCTTTCTCAGACCCTTACTAAGAATCAGTTGAAACCTGTTTATACAAGAGTACTTCAAAAAGTTCATGGAAAAATAAAATTAAAAGATAATACAAATCTTTCCATGAACTTTTTGAAGATCCCTCATGTCCTTTGTACTTTTGGGGATTATATAACTTCATTAGTTATTATATAAAACATTGAAATTAGTACAACAAGAAAGAGGAATTGTTTCTATAAAATCCAGGTTGAATGTCTTGGAAAGACTTTTTAAGACAAAATGCTGAAAGCGGTTTTTAAATGGCTGTTGAATTAGGAAGTGGATAAGACATAGGCAAAATAAGTAGGCCACTCAGGACACAGTTTTACTGGAAGGATTCTGCATACTGATTGCTCTACAAGTGTCTTCTGGTTTTTGCGTCGCTTTAAAGAAACCCGCATTGTAAGTTGCAAATAATATATCGTGAGTGTGATTTACATAGTAAAAATGATGTGGAACTCTTATCGCTGGAGCCACACTCAAAGCCTTCTAACACACAGTAATATACTTTATATGTTTTAAGCTAGAAAAGAGCTTGAGGTATGTATATGTTGTTTTTTATGATTTCCTCACTTAAAGCAACATTTTAAATTAACCTACCAACTAGTCCTGATTAGAGGCTGTCAGGTTAGACCATACAAAAAAATTCATGCACAGATTTATGTGCACAGTTGCTTATTGAAACTTGATAATAGTAAAAAACAAAAACAACCTAAATGTTTAACAATGGGAATAATGAAATTATGGTGTATTCAAAAGATGAAATAGTATATAATTATTAAATGCAATGTTTTCAGATATTATCTGTTAACAAGAAAATGTTCATATTATGTGAAATATAGACTACAAGACCAAATGACCTGAATTTTATGAATGTGCATGTAAAAATTTAATATGCAACAAAAGTGTACATATGTAATTGGAAGGAAATGAACCAAAAAATTGACAGTAATTTCTCCAGATGCTAAGATTTCAGAGGGTTTTTTTTAAATTGTATTCTCTGTGCTTTTCTGTACTTTTCAGATGTTGTGTGAGTAGGTATCATTTTTAAAAAATCAGGGAAATGCTATTTAAGAAAGAGTCCCACTGTTGGCAGTTTTAGAAACATACTTGTATTCATATCAGTCTGGCTCTTTGCTCAGTGTGTTTCATTTAGTATCTCCAAAAGAACCTTTAATGTTCCCAAACTAGAAGAAAAGCAAAGGCACAGGCATGATTTATTTAGCTTGAGGCTCCTTTGGATTTAATTGACAGGCTGATATTTCCAACTTGTAAGGCCTAGCATAGATATCACCTATGAATTAAGCTTTTGCTAACAGCCTCCACCTTCATCCCAAGGCAGAATTGATCACCCCTCCTTTGTGCCCCTTGTTTGTATTCTTAGTGCTTACCATATTTTGTTTTTAAAAAAAAAACCCAAAAAACAGTGCGTGTATCTTTCTCCTCCACTAGCTATACTACATTGCATGTTCCTTGGAAAGAAGATGGAATGGCCTATCTTTGTATTCTTAGTATGTAGCACAGACCTTTGCTCCTTAGTAATTGACTAAATGTCTTGGACAAATGTACAATAGTATCCTACAATATACAGATTTCCTGAAGGAGTGTAAAAGGTATTTATCTTAAGATGTCAGAGTTGATAATTAAAAAAAAAAAAAAAGTTCCCAGTGGCCCATGCTAAAACACAGCACAGTCTTTGAAGAGCATGTGTGACAGGAAAGCAGACTGTCACCAACTGACATTGAATTTATTCTGCTGATTCTGGACTATTGTCAAAGTAGAACCATGTGTGGATGGCTTATAAATTGGTGTAGCCATTTCAGAAAGAAAGTTGGGCAATATCTATCAAATTTAAAATGTATATCACCTTTGCATTTTGGGAATTTACCCTCCAATATACTTGGGCAAAGTAGGCAAACATATATTGATAAGTATCCTCATTAGAGTTCCTTTGGTAATATGTTTCTCAGTAGCAGGTTGTAATATTATTCAGCCATTAAGGATGAATTAAGCTGGTCCAATGGTAATGAATTATCAGAACTTATTAACATTAATGTCACTAAAGTTGGTTTACAACCCCCCGACCCCCTGCTAAATTTGACTTACTTTAAAAAAAAAAGAATGAGGTAGATCTCTTTGTATTTGTGATGATGATAATGATGGCTTTCCTTTANCACCAACTGACATTGAATTTATTCTGATGATTCTAGACTATTGTCACAGTAGAACCATGTGTGGATGGCTTATAAATTGGTGTAGCCATTTCAGAAAGAAAGTTGGGCAATATCTATCAAATTTAAAATGTATATCACCTTTGCATTTTGGGAATTTACCCTCCAATATACTTGGGCAAAGTAGGCAAACATATATTGATAAGTATCCTCATTAGAGTTCCTTTGGTAATATGTTTCTCAGTAGCAGGTTGTAATATTATTCAGCCATTAAGGATGAATTAAGCTGGTCCAATGGTAATGAATTATCAGAACTTATTAACATTAATGTCACTAAAGTTGGTTTACAACCCCCCCACCCCCTGCTAAATTTGACTTACTTAAAAAAAAGAATGAGGTAGATCTCTTTGTATTTGTGATGATGATAATGATGGCTTTCCTTTATTAAGTATGCATTATATGCCAGGCACTGTGCCATTCATTTGACACGTTTTATCTAATAACTCTTATAATAACTAAATAGTAGGTATTGTTGTTATCTACATTTTGTGGAAGAGGAAACTGAAGCACAAAAGTTAAATAACGTGCACAAGTTCATACAGCTAGTAAAGGGCAGACTGGTATTCAAATCCAGGTAGTCTAAGGTTAGAGTAGGCTGTACTTTTAACCTCTAAAGTGCACATCCTCCTTTCTACTGATGGAAAAAGATCAAATACATATTAAATGAAAAAGCAGTTCAGAACTGAATGTATAGTATGATGTCAACTGTATTTTAAATTTAAAAAAAAAGTGATAGCACATACTGGAAGGATATAAAAAATGTAACAGTGGCTTCTCACAAGGAAGGAATGAATGACCTTTTACCTTTCACATTATATTTTTCTCTCGTGTGTGTGTTAATAATAGGCATGTATTTCTTGTATAAATTTTTAACTAAAATTAATGTTGCTGATATTTTGAAAAGCTGTAATACGTAATGAAGACTAAGTTTAAGTCAAGAGTCACAAATGCTTAATCCATCCCTACTTATAGGCCGTGCCATCATGTAGAGTCCCCCTTATCCTAATGTCCTCCCACTAGCTCTCAATCCAAGATAACAGTTCACTTCAACATTTACTTCCTCTGGGGTTCATTTCTTATCTGATCCCACTCTAAATACTGAAGTTTTGATTGACATAGCACCTCAAGTTAGTATTTTATCCTTTTAAGTTGCCTAAATTTTTTATTATTTTGAAAAGGATTTGAGACTGCTTACAATAAGATATAGTTAACGATGCTCATGATAGGAGCTATAAATATTGAGATTACAATTATATCACCAAATACAGTTCTACAGCTGAGCAGTAAATTTAATTTTTAGTTTCCTGGAAGTAGGCACACACAAAAAAAACTTTAAGTTCTGTAGTTCTTGTGATTTGACAAAATGACACATACCTTTTTGCTTAAAGAAACATTTTTCTAAGAAGAAATTTGCTTTATGCAATTTTATGGACCTTTTTATGCAACTTGTACTTTTCTGGTTGTTTCTTGTTTTGATGTTTTTGTCTACCCAACTAAATTATAAGCTTCCTGGGGACAAACTTGATTTTCTATACTATTTTTGTTCCCTCTCTGCCTAGAAAACATGCACTTATTTAATCTATAGAAATAAACATATTGAAATGATAAATTAAGCAATAATTGCAACATAGTCACATTTCGTGGATTATGTTATGGCCAGTTTTCAAAGACTTAATCTTTGTGTGGTTTAAGAATTGATACTATTTTCATCCTTCTCAGCAGGGAATCTTCTCTGATAGCCTTCAAAAAATTATGTAATATTTCATCGTGCATAGCTTTTGCTGAGTTCTGTCATCTTGTAGCTTATACTTTCGAGCTGGATATGTAGTCTGAAGAACTGGAAATTTGTCTGAACTTTTGTTTTATGAAGATTAAATCTTTTTAAATATGGCCTATAGCTTTTAGCTACCTTTTCTTTTCTTTTAGGCCAAGTTATCAAGGCGTGGGACATTGGGGTGGCTACCATGAAGAAAGGAGAGATCTGCCATTTGCTGTGCAAACCAGAATATGCATATGGCTCAGCAGGCAGTCTTCCTAAAATTCCCTCAAATGCAACTCTCTTTTTTGAGGCAAGTATGTGTGTGATGTTGCCTTGTCATCATCTGCTGTACTATAGGGCTGGCTTTGAAGCAGCAGGCAGTGGAACAAGGAATTAAGCTTGCTATTGAAAATCAGATCCAACTTATTTATTTTGGAGCTTGACTTCTTGAATTGTTTCCCACAAGCCCAAGGGTTCTATGCCAGTGCTTTCTTAGAAACGTGTCCCTGACACAAAAAAGTCATATCCAAATAAACATAAGACACTAGACTTATAAATAAAAGTTCTGGTCAGTGGTATGAGTATTACATGCTCAAAATTGACCAGGAGACAGAATGGAAATGTTGGAGATAAATGTTGAAATATGCCTGTACCGAGTTATAAGGTATTTTCATATTCTAGAGGTTTGTATATATCACAGATCTCACCTCTTTATCAGAAGGAATAGGTGCTGATAATGTTATTCATTGTGTTGAATTACATATATTTGGCAAAAGCTGATTTTAAGAACCATCCTAATTAGGTAAAACACACCTTTAGTCAGTTGTAGGCCAGATTCATAGGTTTTATTCTTACATTTTAAGAAGGGAACTCCATAAATCCAGAGTGGAAAAGTAGTGGACTCAGAGTCAGAGAAAATAGTTCTGCACCAGCACCTTGTAGCTCTGGCTTTTTGCCCACGAGGCAGTTTTCCTAGTATTTCCTGTCTGTCTCTGCACTGCAGCCCCACAGGATGTAGTCCTAGACATTATCATTACATGAAATTCTTTCCAACTATTGAAAAGTGCAGTGTTCTTTTTTTCTATTTTTCCAATAACTAAGATGCATAGATAAATACATTTTTAAAACACAGAGTTTTATTTTGTAAAATGAAAGAATTGGTTGCCCTTGCCTTTACATGTTAAGTTGGCTTTGTTTGGTCTTCTCTAAGCCAGATCCCTTTTTCTTTTCTAGATTGAGCTCCTTGATTTCAAAGGAGAGGATTTATTTGAAGATGGAGGGATTATCCGGAGAATCAAACGAAAAGGAGAGGGATACTCAAACCCAAATGAAGGAGCAACAGTAGAAAGTAAGTACTGCTGTGAGAGGGAACTAGTCCCTAAAGGTTGGGTTCCATTTATGTGGATGAAATGGAGATTTTTTTAAAAATCTATTTACAGAAATAAACATATTGAACATATTTCAAGAATAGTTTTTGATTCAACATTTATTTAATAATGACTTCATTTAGTAAATATTAATTCAACATGTATATGCCAAGCACCTTACCAGCTTCTACAAACTAAAAAATGAATAAAAGGTAATCACATCCATCAAGGAATTCCTTGATGTGTCAACAGCTATACTGGTTGCCTCACATATTTATTCATTTATTTCTCACAATAACCTTATGAGGTACAATTTATTGTCCCCAGGTGAGAAAAATGAGTTCATAGATGTTAAATAATTGTCCAAGGTTACAAAGTTACTAAACAGAGAAGTATATGGTAATCCCCTTCAGCACTGTCAAACCCATCTGATGGCTGTCATCAAGATAAAAAACAGTTCATCATTTAGATCAAAATTGGATAAGTGTTTATTCTATATCAGGAGAGCTGGGTTCAAGTTCTGCTTTGCCTTTTATTGAGCGATCTAAAGCTATTTTATTTCTTCATTTGCTAAGTGAGAGTAAGGACACCTTTGAGGACTAGGATAACTGATTACTCTTCTTCCCTCCCAGAGCATGATAGTATACCACTGTGAACACTACTTGTCACTTTATACTGTAATCAGCATTTGACCAGTTCTCCCAGTATACAGTGAGTGCTTGAGGACCAGAGTCTTTCTTCATCTTTTTGTTTTCAGCATCACCGCAGTGCCTAACACACATTTGGGGTTCGGTAAAGGCTTTCTGCATGCATAAATCTTTGAGAGATGCCATTACTGAGCTCAAGTACTTCAAAACAGAGTTGCGAGAAATACTTTCATTAAGAAAAAAGTCAAATCACTAAACAAGGATGGGAACATGAACTGCTATTATAAAAGGCCTATTTTAAAATACTTTATTTAAGGGCTGGCCCGGTGGCGCACTGGAGAGTGCGCTGCTTGAGAGCACGGCGGCGCTCCCGCCGAGGGTTCGGATCCCATGTGGAGACCGGTTCCCGCTCACTGGCTGAGCGCGGTGCGGGCGCAACGCCGAGGGTTGCGATCCCATTGCCGGTCCCCGGTACGGGCGCGACACCGAGGGTTGTGATCCTGTTACCGGTCAGTAAAAAGGACAAAAAGGAAAAAAAAAATACTTTATTTAAAACAGTAAACTAGAATAGTTGAGTTTTTTATTTTTAATGTTGTATATACTACTTTAAACCCATATTTCATTTCCATGAGTCTGGCAAATTAGTTCAAATTTAGTTGTGTTTTTTGTTTTGTTTTGTTTGGAAGGAGTTATAAATATTACTACTGTACTATTGCAGCTGAAGTGTTTAGATCATTGTCATTCATGATGTTTTTGAATAAATGAAGAAGAGCTGAGATACATATTCTTCTAGATTGAGGTTATGCATTTTGGGGAAAATACCATGTAAGCGATGATGTACCCTTCTCAGTTCACTATTATCAAGAGGTGCATGATGCTGATGTCTCTCGTTACTCATGATAGTAACTTAGATCATTTGGTTAAGGTAAGGTCTGCCATGTCTCTCTACGGTAAGATTACTGTTTTCTCATTAGGAGGGAAATACTATCTTGTGTTACATTATAACTTCATACACTCATTTTAGCATTTATTAATGATTTTTGCATGCAGTAGTTATTACTGTGGTATTTGACTAATGGTAATTTTTCTATTTCCATTGTTCCTTGTATATTTATTAAGTGGAATTCTATTGTATATAAGGGAATTCTCCCCTGTATATTTATTCACTTGTTCATATCAGTATGGAACTATGGATATGTATTTTATTCTGTAAGTTATTATTCATTACTTTTTTTTTTTTTTTTTTGCCCAAATTGTCCCAGATTTGACCACTGGAAACTCCTTCAAGTTGGCTCTTGTGTCCTTTCAAAATACCCTCATTGTTTTTTTAAGCACTTCTTACTTTCTGGCACCACAAGATGTTCTAGGCTCATCTTAAAACTTCCCTGCACCAGGCCTGGAATCAACTGTTTCTCCAAGGAGCCCTGATGTCATTGCTTCTAAGATTTCTAGCAGACAGAGCTAGGAAATATACATACCTCAATATACATACACACACATCTATATGTATTTCTATATCAGTCTGTACATATAATAAAAATCATGAGTACGTACTGGTAGTTCCATTTCCAATCTGATACCACAGGTTTGTTCTTCTCCCTTTGCTCATTTGAAACTCCTTTCTCTAACAGTGAGAAACTTCGCTCTCATTAGCCACAATATATTTACTTATTTGCTCAATCCTACTATATATACAAGGCAGTTTCAGAATTGCTAACCCACACCCCTATGAAAAAAAGTTTTTCTAAGTAGGAAATATTTCTGTATAGTTCTTTTGACATTACATACATTCAAAATTTTGTCATTCATGTGCATTGAAAACACTTTTCCAACTTGAGTAAATTCTTTCTTCCTCACTCCCTTCAGTATTGTGTTACTCAGTTGTAATATGGTTTGGTTCATTTGTTACTATCTGTATTCCATTTTGAGTTCCCCTCACACTCTGGTTGATTTTAATTATTTATTTGGGGGAGGGGGGTATGTGAAACCTTACCTCAATTCTAAACTATACAAAAAAGGTATACTCAGAAGCGTTATTGCCCCTTCATGCCTGTTAACCTGCTGACCTGCTCCCATTCCCCATTATTTCCACCCCATTCCAATCTCATTGGTTACCTCATTAGGTCTTGGTGTTTTCTTCATATATATATATATATATATATATATATATATATATATATATAAATGAGCAGGTTTGTGTTTTTTTCCTATATTTCCTTCCCTTTTCCATAAAGAGTAACATACTGTGGTTGGAATTTTTAGAATGTATTTGAATAATCCTTTATGTAATTTTATTTTTTCTGTTTCCGTTAAGGAAGAGCAATGACTAATCTTTTGTTTCTCATCTTGTTACAATGTACTTTTCTGGGAAATTTTAGAGTAAATGGTTTATTTTTATGTTTTCTCCCAAAAGCCATTTTTGGTTTTCTGGAACAAATCAGTTTTATAGAAATTTATTGTATTGTATTTTCATTTATCAAAGTTAAAATGTCCTGCTTTCTCTCTTTCAAAGAAGTTAGCTATGTGGGTGAAGAGGACAGAGGTTGCTTTAAAGGTGGTCCTGTCCAAAACCAAGATCACCTTGTTCTTTTTGAAATCTTGTCTTTAACAGTTTGCCTTTCTTTGTAGCATCACCCATACACTTAGACTCAAAACCAGGTATAAAACCTAGAACTAAAGCCAGCTCTTGAGTGAAGGAGAACAATACTGTAGACACTGGTCACTCATTATAATATGTCATTATAGATACGTAAGAGTTACTAAGTTTCTGTCATCTCTGTGTAAAGATACAATGAAAATAGTACACAGGCTTTGGAAGTGATGGACTTGAGTTTTGAATCTTGGGACTGCTGCCTGATATTTTCATGACTTTAGATAAATTACTTAACCACCTTGAGCATCCAGTTTTCTTATCTGTAAAATGGGAGTAATTTTTACCACCACAGGTTGTTGTGACAATTAGGAAGAAGGTGCCTAGCACATAGTGGGCACAATTTCTTTTTTCCTACCCTCTATACTGTGTTTATATAATTTGTTTTTCTTCCTTTAAATGGATTTAAGGAAAGAAATCTTTGACTCCTCCTTTTGGCTCTACCGCAATTGACCTAGAACCCATGGTTAACTTATCTCTAATAACAGTCTCCAAATTAATTATAAAATTTCTTAATAGTAATTTTATCTAACTCACATTTCTCTAGGTTTTTGGTTTTTTGAAGACTTAAATTAGGGACTGAATCAAAAGGCTTTTACTGAATTGTGATCTTTTAATTCCTTTCCATAATTCGTCTGTATATGGAAGAGAGAACTTGTGTTACTTTGACAGGATTTATTATTTCTCAAAGAAATTTTGATTTTTACTTTATATATGAGGATCCTAAGGTGAGCAAATCAATTTTTAGATTCTTCTTTTCCATTCTTTTTCTTGTGTCAATTAAAATGATCATCTTGTAAGTTCAATGTTTTCCTTTTTCCATTAAAAAAAAGTCATGTTCTGAGGTACTCTAATTGACATGATTATGATTACTGATACTTTAGTCATCATACTTTAGTTTAATTGCCAGTAGTGGCTACATTGCTACTTTAAGCTTTAGCTTTCTCAGAAAAGTCAATCTGACTGACATAAGGCTCTAAATAGCTACTAGTTTCTCTTCCTTCAACTCCCAGTCTCTCACATTCTGATTTGTCAACTTCAGTAATTGGAATAGGCCCATCAAAATGCTGGCTGTATGTGGTTCTCTTGCCTCTCAGTGCTTTCAGCCACGTTTGAATGCGAAGAATGCAGACAGTTGGCAGTATTTTCAAATGTGAAAATTTCAACAGATTGATCTGCAGATTCGAGTTGTTGTAGTACCTCCTTTCCCTCTCACCTTCTTTCCCTCTCCAAATACCACTGAAATGATAGGTGGGAGAAGGGGGAAAGATTTTTCACAGAAAAAGAAATCAATAATAATGCTGGAAAATGGAAGAATACAAAAAGTGGATTAGAAATTATGAAGATTTTCTGGAAAATGTAAAGTAAATGGAATTGAACTGATAGAAACAAGAGTCAGCATACCCAACCCAAAACAGGTGTAGAGAAGACCTCTGCAGAGGTACATACTGTTCTTCTCAACAAGCTCAGGCAGAACTCCAAGCTCACAGTCAGCTGGTGCAAGGGAGCCAAAGCAGGCTATGCAGCAATCATCAGGATTGTTATAGAACAATATGAAACAGCTGGGCCAGTAAATTTGTAATGCAGTAGTTCTCAACTTCAGCTGAATTTAGAATTACCTGGGGAGCTTTTAAAAATCCTGATGCCCAGGCCAGTTAAATAAGTTAAGAATCTCAATTTTCCG